GTGTGTGTGTGTCGTTTGAGATATATCTAAGGGGTGGGAGAAGGCTTTAGATATATCTGAATAAAATGTGGAATATATTCAGGTGACGGGAGCAGAGCTTGAATATATTAAGGTGATGGGAGCAGGGCCTCTAATGATAAGTGAAAGTTGAGAAATTCGTAAGCAAAAGAAAATTGGGTTAAGGGACGGATGGGCGCTAGTTCATATTTTAGGGTATTCGGAGCCACAGTGGTAAAACGCATGGTATGGGACATGTAGGCTTGTTGCCCTAGGATATGAATTAGTGGGATTAGAAGGGAGTGAGTTCATGGCATCACCGCATATGCAAATTTATTTATCTGGTATGATTGCATAATTTGTATATCTTGTGTTGTTTGATGCATGACACTTTGATTAACTGTGATAGCTGACTTTGAGGGGTTTGACGGTACTCTACTGGGCATTAGAATGCTCATACCCTAATAGATTGTGCAGGATTCAAAGGATTCAAGACGAAGTTTGAGGAAGCGGGTTTCAACTAAGCTGCTAGGTTTTTGGTTGTTGATTTGTGTAATTCATATTTGTAAGCAGTCAACCGTTTGTTAAAGAGCTTAGTGTGTGGTTAATTACGAGCTACTGCGACTCTGATTTTGTAATGTTAAGTAAATTTGTAGTAATTGTGGCTCTTTTTCTCATCATATCATTGTTGTAGGATTTTACTCTTATGACTATGGTATGACTCACACCATGATTTAGGAATATTCTTTATTTTCGAATCGGGTCGTGACAGAGAAAGAGATAGAGACAAAGAGAGAAACGAAGTGAGGAAGATGGGGGACTTGGTATGGCTTGAGGTTGCGATGGTGGGACTGAAGGAAACATGCATCTTATGTCTTGAAAATGAATTCAGCCACAACTGATAACACAATAACATTCATATGACAGATTAATTTTGCTTATTCTAGGTGAGCTAAGCCTTTCTCATTTTAACCTAAGTATCTTATGATTTAGTCTCTTTGAGCACAAAAATAAAAGGGAGAATGGTATGAGATTTTACCCTGGATGACTATATCTTGGAGAATAAAGAATGATCACTTTGTTGGAAAGGTATTCAATCTCCTCTTAGAATGTAGATTCTTCAACCGAGAGGCTCCAAAGTAGAAGCCCTCTAGTTCACCACACCAAAATGGACAAGAGATGGAGATAATATCAACCAAGAGGCCTTAGTTGCTAGACTACCTCTTGATTAGTCCAATTTTTGGTTAACAAGATGAGAGGGAGGATGTCTCACCTACACATCAACACTTCATGGTTTGGAAGCCAAAAACACTAACTTGAAATGTCAAAGTGTGGCTTATAAAGCCAACAAAAAGATGAGGAGAAATTCCCAATAGGGAGTTTTGGCCATGGTGTTTCTTGGGCTCATTTAACTTGTGTTGTCATACAACATATGTTCCTAGGCCCAATGGGTCCTTGGGCTATTTTGCCCTTTGGCTCAAAATGCCTTAAAAGCTAAAATCAAGTCCAACCATTAAATGAACTTCACAATTAACATTTTAATTATGATTTGTGACTTAACCATTAAGTCATATCCTTAGTCCGAATAGTTTGACTTGGTCAACCATTTTGGTCAAACATGTTGACTTTCACTTTGACCATTGACTTTCAACGTCTTATCCTCTTCATTTGTTTCTCAAGTTTCTTCTTCTCTTCATTTGTTCCTCTAATCACATTTCTCGGTGTGCGATCCGTAGGTTCCTTTTAGCAAGGTTGGGTTGACTCAATTTCTCTGAGTTGACTTGCGAATTAAATCTCACCATTTAATTCTTCCTATTGGTGAATGTCAACTATGATTGAACCTTTCAGAACTTTCCCAAACCATTGTTGATGCCTAGCAACATGTCATGATTATCCGAGCTAAATAGGATATAGAAGAACCTATTCAAATTGGAATGACCGTACAATTGAATTCTTCTCTTGTACAATACTCCTTATTCACATTATTAGATAATGAAATCTAATGTCAAATATCCTAATGTGAATTATTCATTTATATAATTATCCTGACAAGATTTAAAGACTTCTTCATTCAAATCTTGTCCACTACTCTACTTAGAGATTTGATCAGTCATATCCTTGGAGCATTCTTTCTCTTTACTGGTAATAGAGATTCCCTGTTTTACATTCATTTGCCTCAATGACTTTATTGAGAGTCCTAATAAACACATTTTTGTTTATGTCTTCAACAATACAATTATATAGTGTCCTTAAAGACAAACAACATAGCCACAAGACATCTATGATGTCTCAAGTTTAAGGATTTAGTTTGCACCATTGCAATCTATGAGTTCTAGTTTGACATGTGAATAAATACTTCCATTTTAGAACTCATGTATTTGATCGCATTCAGTGTACTTATTCCCCTACAAGCACCTACATACATATCTTGGTGTCACCACATTTAATGACTTAAGACCTCATCATTCTTTACATTTAGAGAAGTAGAGAAGATATTGTGTGTATTGGTCTTGGCTGAAGATCAGGAACATTTTAGGATCGGGACCATGATAAGTCTCAATGTATGCAATCTCATTACATAGTTCTCATGTTTACTTTCATATTCATAAGACTATAATAGTTTTACATTTCTTTATGTAGAATAATCATGATTTGAAAACAACTTGTCTTGCCCATGAATAACTTAATAAGTTATTATAAAAGATGCCCTTAACATTAATTATCATGTAATTAGTTGGCTTTAAGGGTATACTACTAACAGGGACTTGGTGTGACTTGTTCGCTTAGGTTTTGGGGCAGTGAGGATGGGTGCGTGGCTAGGGTGGTCGAGGATTGTATTTTTAGTCCTTTTTTTTTTTCTTACTGTTAACTTTTCTGTTTATTTAGTCTGTTTGGTCATTTTGATATTATAGTAAATTAGTATTTCAATAAATAGTTTGATGATAGAGTGTACTTAGTTAATTTTAGAGTTCATTTAACAATACCTTAAAAATATTATTAAAACATGTGATGGTGGGGCTACCTCTATAATGATGATCTCGTCTTGAAAATGTAGTTTTGATTTGTATTAGTTTTTTTTTCAATAGTCTAGATTTTTAATTAATTAATATTGAATTGATATAAATGTTGTGCTCGTAGTGTTTTTTTTTTTTTTTTTTTGGGTTTCCCAGGGGTATCCCCCGCGCGACTATGGAGACTAAATCCCTCGAGGTACGATCAGGCCCAAAACGAGGACCTCTCCCAATATAGTCTGCTCTATTCGCAAGCGCCTGAGATCGAACCCAGGACCTCTTGTTTAAAGGATCCAAGCCCCTTCCACTTGGACCAACTCTTGTTGGTTTGTAGTGTTTTTTTTATCGTTCAACAAAGTAGTTTTGTATTCATAATGAGGAAGGCGGGGATGGGAAATACCCAATTTGGACATGCGAGGATGGGGAAAAATACTTAACACCATTGTCATCCCTACGATAAATACACTCGTAAGGGTACAAAATTCTGATTTCAATATTACATCCAGAAAATTTGTTTCTTTTACAAAGCAAAATTTTAATTTCATTTCTATAAGCCGTACAAGAATCAAAACTGTATCACTGTTCCCGTGTATCTCACTCACACCGAAACCAACTACACTTGTGTATCTTCACCGTTTATTCGGATCGATCAAATCGAACCCTAGCTAGGCGGACCGATCCCAAGCTCGTCGGCGCCATTGACGACGACGCCGGCTCGTTTAATGGAATCGAAGAGCGGCAAGACCCTGATGCGGTGGTGGACTGGCCTCGAGAGCTCTTCGCCGACGTCGATCTCCACGCCGGTGAGGCCGATCTCCCTGAGACGGAGGCCGAGCTTCTCGCCGACGCGAGAGGCGACCTTGGCGTCCCAGAAGGTCTGGGAGCGAGGGAAGCGGTTGAACTTGGCCCGGTACTGGGCGACGAACTCTTGCTCGGAGGAGGAGGCCATGGCTATGATTGAGGAGCTGCTGGGGCTCGTCACCTGCGCTGTGATTTTGCGGCAGGAGAGGACGAGGCGGAGGACATGGTGGTTCGTCGACATTGTAGAGAGAGAGATGAGCGCGCTTCCATAAGGCCTATATTTAATAAAAAAAAAGTGTTTTTTAAATTTTGTTTTTGAGGAGATTTTAGATTTTATTAGAAAATAAAAATTAAAAGAGAAAAGGGAAATATTTACAAATCAGACAATGAATTTTTTTTTTTTTGGTTCAAACAAATCAGACAACGAATGACCAAGGTTTGTTTAAGACGAATCATGTTGTCTTGGCAATTACTTGACTGTGATTCACAAGTTCTTTACTAAAATTATTAAACATCATCTGAAGCCTAACTACAGTCTCTGGACTGGTTTTGGATATATAAGAAGTTTGCTGCAAAAATTTAACATTCATTTCATGAGGAATATCTTCAGTGAAGGCAATGTATTAGCAAATGATCTACGCAAGTAATAGACATTGACTCCCAAATATATTTGTGCTTGGTTCAATCACTACTAATCGAAATACTCACAATCGTTGATATATGTAGAACTCATAGTAATATTTCGATAAATGAAATTATTTTTGCAAACTGAGCTAAACATCAGAATTAAAACAATTTCTTAAGATATATCACGTTGTTTTGCTAAAGCCTTATTGTAAGTCTGTACTAAGCTTTTAAACTATAATACTAACCTAGTTCAGCCATGGTAGCAGTAGAGTATCACGATTTCTTGTAGAGAGTCTTCTTCCCTTTTGCAGCACTTTAGTTTCTCTTTCTCTTAGATAGGGTGAGATCTGATTTGAGAGTGATTTGCTGCAAGGGAAGGGACCTCTATTTATATATGCATCACATCGATACCTTGCCTATCAAGAAGTAATCGTGTGTCCTTGTTGCATTTAGATTAGGTTTGGTTCAATCCATAATATACTAGGAATCCTCTTTACACTTGTTTTCTTTAATAAACTCTGTATAAGTGTTTAGATAGAAGACTAGGTTTTGTTTCCTGATCAACTAAGAAAACCGAATCCTCTTAGGATTAGAAGATCACCTTACGTGGACTAAGACAAGATTTTGTCTTACATTCTCCCACTTGATCGACTAATCCCTAAGTTTCTATGTTGATCACTTAAGGCCTTTGTGAAACATAACTCTAGTTGATTCCTTCAAGCAATTGTCAGTTTTAAGGAATGTGAAAGAACCATCAAGACCTTACTGAATATCTAATACTCCAGGGTCTTTATAATCACATTTAACATCCTTTAAAACCACATAAGCTTCCATCAAGATTAAACAGAAAACAAACATGTTCTACTGTAGAGTTTTATGAACACATTCATTCATTGTCCCTTTATTCGACTGCCAAGGTCTAATCACTTGTTACAGTGACAATTCTGTCATGAATGAAATTTGCACAGATATCTTTAGCTAGCTTTTCTGTTTCATTTCATTCAAGCATTAAAACGCATACTCATCCATTAAACATATAATTGCTTAATGAAAAGATAAATTCCTTTATTTGAATCTCAAAACCAGATCATCCTCCATTGAAACCAAAACTAACTGTGAACTTAAAAAAAAAACAATAACAAAACCGAAATTACTTAAACTTAACAATGCTCCCACTGTTTTAAGCATCTTAATTATTCTTCAGTCCCATGCTGCGAACATGCCTGTGAAAAACTGCATTCCTTAATCCCATGCTCATAACATGCCTATGGAACACTGTATTTGGGACTCCTTTAAGAGACTTTCGTCAAGACTAGAATGCAGAATGATCATGATCAAACTTAATTTGTGTTTACAAAGGTCACTTTCATTCATACGCCCTCCCTTTAGAGATTACCAAGATCTCTCCTTAATGACTCTGGTATGAATTCATGTCTTTATGCAGTGACTATAGCTATCTATACTGCATGATGACATGTAACTGGATTCATTTGTCAAGAATAATAAACATAAAACTGAAGTCACATAATTCATTAAAAGATTGAACCAAACAGTAGCAAACAAAATAACTGAACTGTCTCTAAGAAAATAACGAAATTAAGTGGAATAAAACTCGGCTCCCACTGATTTTGCATATAGAAAATGAATGGCATAACCAAAATCGAATCAAATTTCCCATTAAAACTTTTGGGAATAACCTCATACAGTAAATCAATCAACCAATGCAATTTCCTTTCATTTACCTTCTACCTTACAAGCTTGAAACAAAAAACCTTAATGCTTATTAGTAATCATAAATTCAATGAAAGGTAAGAGTCATTGATTAACCACTGTTAACTGAAAATATGAATTAACAATAACAATTAACACATCCAAACAAACTTTGTTCGTATTAGCCTTAAAACCCTTAATGAAGAACTGGAACATTAAGTGATTAATCATAAACAGTCAAAACTAAATGTATGCAACAAAGAAGATCATTGAACGCTCCCACTGTTTTAAAACATATATTTTGCATGTTACAAAATGGATCAATACCATATAAAATGAATTAATACATTATAAAACTTTATCGCAGTCCAATCCTTAGAGTTAGAGCTCAAATTTAATTCAATTCTTTCTCAAACAACACTTTACATGTAAGTTGCACGTAGATGAGAAAAACAAAAAAAAAAAAATCTGTAATGGAAGCATTCAACTTTATTCCACTTGTATCTTAAACACCGATTCAATTTTCTTTAAGCAATACAAGTAGAAAACAATAAGCATGGTAAGAACTTTAGTAGCCAAAACGAAACAGTCAGTCATCCAAACAGTTCCAAGTATGCTTATTAGTACTCAGAAAACTTCAATGTGTCAAAACCAGAAAAGAATTCCAAGTATGCTCCAAAACCTATATGAGCTTTATCAAATACAAGATAATAAGGTATTGAGTGTGAAGCCCAAAACTTTACATCACTTCTCCCACTTGGGCAAACACTCACTACTTTGCTACTTCAAAATATATAGTGCACCAATAACCTTATGATTAGAAACACTGTGACAAAAAAGGTGTAAAAGAACTTTCAAGGCGTGCTCCTAATGTACTTCACAATATAAGCCTAAATGCACAAAACTGTCAAGAAAATTCCAGCAATGATATGTGATTACTTGAGAATTTACCATAATTAATTTATAAATCGGATTAGCATCAAATTTAATGCAAACAAACTAGAGCCATTAATCTTCAAACAGAAAAATTAATGAGTCGTTTTATAGCAAATTAAAAAGTCTGAAATTGACCTACAAGGTTACTCAGAAAATCTGTCAGCACATACTTTTCCTGAACACAGATCACTAATAAAATTCTCACAAATAATCTATACATCCAATAATCACGAAACTTTGCAGAATTCACGAAGACACGTATATGCTCAACATATCAAAAATTCAGTTCATTTGAAGATCTTTAAGTGAGTCATTCAACAATCTTTATTCATAATGCAGAAACTGTCAGGAAAATTCCTGTGCATCTGTTTCAACTTTATAATTTCACCAAAAATTCAATTCTCAATATATTTTCATGAATTCAGCGTCTAAAGAAAGCTTAGAAAATGATCCTTATCTCCTAATTTTATCACAAATTAATTCGTACTACAACATTATGTAAATAGACATCAAAGCAGCATAGTTCAAAACTGAAAAATTAGTTAACTATAGAATTAGGAATGCTATCAATATGCTTCTCAAAATTTAATTATCCTTATGTGCATTCTAAACATCATAAAACAGTAAGTTCCATGTAGGTGCAAACGAAACAATTAAAACCATATCACAAAACCAAGATATATAAAATATCACTTTATTAAGTTTGAAAAACACCTTTGAGCAATCCAGAGATCGTATCTTGAGTATTTTATATATAGCAAT